CCGACAGCCCCCTCTGAGCTTCCTCGGGCTGGAAAGGGTTAATGGAAGTCACACCACTCGTGTTTCCATGGGTGCACTGGTCTGATCTAGGAAGGGACGTTGGTTAATCTGGAATTAAGTCAGATTGAATCACACCGATGTCAAAACTGGTTCAGGAAAAAGGAAAAAAAAAATAAAAAGAAAAAGAAAAAAAAAACCAACTACCTGAAATCACAGAACTTTGGAAGTTCAGAAAAATGTCTCTCCTATAACTTGTTTAAAGTTCATTTGCTTAAATCTCTTTCCTTATTTAAAGCCAGTTCCTAACAGTAGTTTTTCCACCTCTGCCAATGTCGCCACCAGTGATGCCAGCTCGTTTCCTGCGCTCAAAGGATTCCAGGTTGTGGAAGGCGCCGGGCTCGGCAGTGCAGGGTCGGCTCCTCCCCGTCCCTCCCCGCAGGGAGCCCTCAGAGCTCAGCCTGCAGGTCCCGCAGTCTCCCGCACACTGACCGGCAGCAGTCACGTTTTTTTGAGAAGATATATCGGATAAGAAGGCATGAAAGTTCCTCTAAGTACTTCCAGGCTCAGCCCTTCTCCAGTTCTCACTTGAACGAGTGTCCCACTCCTCCCACGTCGCCGTCCCTCACTTCCTCCGGTCCTTCTGTTTCCGTTCCTGCCGCCGGGCCTGCTGGTCAGCCACGGCGCGAGGTATCAAAATGACGCTGCCGTCGCTGGCGTACTGCAGGGCGTACTGGCTGGGGGAGTAGGGCTGGCCGTTCTCGTCCCGCAGGCGGCCAAACACTTCCTGGTAGAGGTTCTGCACCTTTTGCTTCATCTGACGGATGGATTTGAGAAATTCCACTTTCTCCCTGAGCAGTTTGGACTTGTCCCGTTGCAAGTCCTCGACGTCCCGTTCCAAGTTGAGGATGGTGTCCAGTTTCCTCTTGCGGCAGTTCTGGGCAGCCATCTTGTTCTTCCCTCGCCTCCTGATGTCTCGGATCAGGCTCAGCTGCGCCTCGCTGAGCTGGTACTTGGAGAGGAGCTCGTTAAACTCCTCCACGGGCAGGTTGATGATCTTGTCGTTGGTGAAGGGGATCTTCATGGCTCTGGCTCGATGCTCGTCCCTGCTCATCTGCTTATCCAGGAATTCAGACGGTTTCTCCTTGCTGCTCTTCTTCATGGTGCTGGGCAGTTTGGGCTCCTCGGGATCCAGCGCCGCCGGCGCCATGTTGTAGGTGTGGTTGTGGCCAACGTGCTCCAGGTAAGGCAAGTAATGGAGCTGCGACGGGTCCTGGTAGCTCATGCGGCAGAACTTGCTGTACTCTGGCTGGTATCCAACCGCCCCTTCCGCTTCTTCAAAGTCCACGTTTTCAGAGTCTGAGCTGTAGCCGACAGCTCCTTCCTCAGAAAACGAGGAGGAGGAAGAGGACGAGGAGGAAGAAGAGGAGGAGGAAGAGGCTTCCGAGCTGCTCAGAGAAGCGGGACTGTGACCGGAATCCAGCGAAAGACCCGAGTCAGAATCAAACTCCTCTTCCAGCTGTGAGGCCTGCACCGGGTTGAAACCTTCTTCGATCGCCAAGTCCATCAAACTGATCTCATCAAGCATGGCTTCGTCTAGCAGACCGCCCAGTGGGTCCGGCAGCTCGGGGCCGGCCGTCTCGTTGACCGTGCTGTTCAACTGCGGAGGGAAGAAGATGCCGCTCAAGTTGGTGGAGCCGAAGGTGGTGTTGAGGCCGGTGGAGTTGTCCGGCGCCAGCTGGAGCAGGGCCGAGCTGCCAGCCATGGAGGGGCTTTCGATTTCCGAGCTGAAGAGGGAGAAGTCCTGCGAGCAGCTACCCAGAGAGGCCTGATGCAGGCTGACGTTCTGATTGATGGGAGTGTTTGGAGCCAGGCTG